AGGACATATGTAATACTTTCACAATAAAGATTTTAAAAATAAAATAAAATGATGCATACTGAACTAAACAAGAAAATACAATAAAAATATTTTTTAAAAAAAGTATTTCAATTCAATACATGCTTTAGACCTGAATAAAAGGGTCAAGTCTGTCATTTACCAAAATGAGGAAAGATGCAAGGGAACAGGTTCAAAAGGGTGGAAAGAAAGTAAATAAAGTTTAGGCCTCTGCTTGTTAAACAGGAAATGCCTATACACGTCCACGTGAAGCTGTCCAGTAGGCAGCTGCAGGCCCACACTGGATCAGAGATGCAGTCCCGGCTGGAGACATACGTGGGGGCTGTCAGCGGAGGGGGACATGCGAAGCCTCGAGTCCAGCTGAGACCTCCCAGAGGGTGGCCACCGACAGAGAAGCGCTCAGAGCCAGCACAGCCTGGCCCCAACACGGCAGTATGTGTTGAACAAGCAAATGAAGGGAGAGGTAGGGCCAGGTTCATTCTCACATGCAGTTTCACTTCCTGTTGTCCAGGGCAGACTTGTCACAGGACAGAAACCAGAACAGCAAACACCCCCAGCACTCGAGACATTCAGCGCTGCTCGGAGCACATGGTGAATATTCACTCTTTTAACCCGCACCTCAGAGGCAGGGACTCCTGTTCTCCAAGTTCCAGAGAGGAGGAAGATGGGGTGCAACAAGGTGAAGTAACGTGCCCAAAGCCACGCAGCCAGGCTGTGGCAGGGCTGGGACACAGCACTGGTGCCTGGCCCCCACCCGCGTTAAGTCACCATGTGATGCTCTAAGTACTACAAGCTGCGAAAGAAGGGAAAGGAGTTCGTCTCCCCAACACCTGCCGGGCTGTAGCTCTGCTGGGGCATCATCACCGCCCGGGACCACAGTCTAGCACGCAGGCCCAGCACGGGGCTCCCTGAGTGTGTGAGCTGACGTCTGCGACAACAGCCAGCGAGAGCCGGGTGCCCAGGAGCCTCCCCACGGGGGCAGGTCCCTGGCTCTGGATCACTCTCAGGCCGTGCAGCTTGGGGGTGGGGGTAGGGGTGAGAGTGGGGACGGGAGGGATGAGAGATGAGAGGGCGAGACACAAAGCACCAGCAAACAACACGGCAGGACTGCATGACTCGCGCAGGTGCAAGCACACCCTTGGTTACTGATGGCTGCAGCCAGACGGCGCTCTGCTCGGCAGTGCTGAGTCACCACACAGTTAGCTGGCCTGTTCATTTCAGCTCGCAAACACCCTTTAGGTCAAAGAGCATGCCCACGCTCACCTTCGGAAAACGAATGACCAAGATGGCAGAGACATTTAAGCACGATGCAAGCAATATTAAGAATAAATCTATTTAGTACGATAGCTACTTTTTTGAAAGTGTGGATTTCTTTTAAAATATTTTAACTGCTTGGCTACTTAGTCTTCTAAGAAATATTTTGCTGAGTTTTACAAACAAACTCATCATATTTTAATTTTATGCTATTTTAATAAGCCTATACAAGAAGTGATCCAAATTTAAAATACAAAGTCCAACACTGATTTATTTTGTGAATCTCCTGGCTCCAGACACCAGCTCTGGGGAATGTTAGGCCACATTCAGAACAAACTTAACTTGATAAGGCATAAAATAGGTGCAAATCCACCTTGTGGCCCGGCCAGACCCCAATGTGTGCACACTGCCTCCCTCACACACCACACGCCCGTATCCACCATGTTTCATGCTCAGAGGGGCCAACCTCGGCCACCACTATTGCCACAGCCCTGAGCCAGACACCCCTTTCTCTCACCTGGACTAGCCCAAGAGCCACACTCTTGCCAGGGTGACCACATCACTCTGAGCCTGCAGGCCAGAACCAGGGACCAGGGTCATCATGCCACATTACATCACCATCACATCATGTCACATCACAGAGGCCCCCTGGACAGTGCCCCCACCTCCTGCTCACGCTGCCCCTTCCCGACAGTCAGCCCCACTGCTCCTCTGCCTGTGTCTAGATCAGGGGTGGGCAAACTTTTTGACTCGAGGGCCACAATGGGTTCTTAAACTGGACCGGAGGGCCGGAACAAAAGCATGGATGGAGTGTTTGTGTGAACTAATATAAATTCAAAGTAAACATCCTATCTAATAAAAGAGAAACATGGTAATTGGCGTACGACCGCTACTCTTCCCATTGGCTAATCAGCGAGATATGCAAATTAACTGCCAGCCAAGATGGCGGCCGGCAGCCAGGCAGCTTGAAACTAACATGAGGCTTGCTTGCTTCAGTGACGGAGGACTCCAACGTTCCCCGCCTGCGGCTGCGGGCCTCTGAGCTGCACTCTAAGCAACTATGTAACAAATATAGAAGCTAAACAAAACCCCAGAAACCTGCTTTATTCGGCTGGCCGGGCTTCAGCCAGCAGGATCGCAACATTGTAAGCAAAGGCCAGAAACCTACTTTCAGCAGTGGAGGCCTAAGAGCTGGAGCCAAGCCTCAAAGCTAAAGTTGGCCCAGAATAAAAAAGAAAAAAAAGAAAAAAGGAGTGGTTGGGAGCTTCAGTCACCCCCAGCCTGAAAACAGCCCCCAGCCCCTCACCCAGACTGGCCAGGCACCCCAGTGGGGACCCCCCACCCTGAAGGATGTGTGACCAGCTGCAAACAGCCATCATCCCCTCACCCAGGCTGGCCAGGCACCCCAGTGGGGACCCCCACCCTGATCCAAGACACCCTTCAGGGCAAACCAGCCGGCCCCCACCCGTGCACCAGGCCTCTACCCTATATAGTAAAAGGGTAATATGCCTCCCAGCACCGGGATCAGCGGAGCCGCGAGGCCTCCCGGCACCGGGATCACGTGACAGAGGGCAGTGCCCAAACCCCCTGATCGCCCTGCGGCTCTGTGTGTGACAGGGGGCGGGGCCACAACTCCCTATCCACCCTGCTCTGTTCGTGACAGGGGAAGGTGCCCCAACCCCCTGATCAGCCCTGCTCTGTGCCTGATGGGGGGAGCTCCCCAACCGCCTGATCGCCCTGCAGCTCTGTGTGTGACAGGAGCGCCGCCCCCCCACCCCCCACGGGCCCTGCTCTGTGTGTGACGGGGTAGAGCCATAACCTCCCCATTGGCCCTGCCCTGAGTGTGAGAGTGGCGGCGCCCCAACCCCCTGATCGGTCCTGCTCTGTGGGTGATAGAGGGCAGCGCCCCAACCCCCTGATGGGCCCTGCTCTGTGCGTGACAGGGGGCAGCACCCCAACCCCCTGCTTGGCCCTGCTCTGTGCGTGACAGGGTACAGAGCCCCAACCCTCCTGATGGGCCCTGCTCTGTGAGTGACAGGGGGCAGTGCCCCAACCCCCTGATTGGCCCTGCTCTGTGCGTTACAGGGGGTGGCGCCACAACCTCCCCATTGACCCTGCCTTGAGTGTGACAGGGGACGGTGCCCCAACCCCCCAATCGGCCCTACCCTGAGCGTGACTGAGGGTGGCATCACAACCTCCCCGTCGCCCTGCTCTGTGCATGACAGGGGGCGGCGCCCCAACTCCCCAATAGGCCCTGCTCTGAGCCCGACCAGGGGCTGCACCTAGGGATTGGGCCTGCCCTCTGCCACCCGGGAGCAGGCCTAAGCCAGCAGGTCGTTATCTCCCGAGGGGTCCCAGACTGCGAGAGGGCACAGGCCGGGCTGAGGGAACCCCCTCCCCGCCGAGTGCACAAACTTTTGTGCACCAGGCCTCTAGTCATTACATAAAAGGGTACGGTCTTTTTTTTCAATAGTTTTATTCATTTCAAACGGGCCGGATCCGGCCCGCGGGCCGTAGTTTGCCCACGGCTGGTCTAGATGCTTCTTTGGTACAATGGGGACAATAATAGTATCTTCTTCATAAGGTTGTTGTGAGTTTTAAATGAACTAGAAACCTAAGTGCTGACTCACTTAAAGTTAGCAGAAGTAACCACTCAGTACATGATCCATCCCCATTATTATAACTTCTCCATCACACCTTTACACTCAACCCCCTGTACGGCCTGGCCCGCAGGCCCTGCCGCCATCCCCATGCACCTGTGCTGCTCTTCCAACCCCTGCGCTGCAAGCACTTCCTCCCGAGGCCTTTCCTGAGCACAGGTGTGTGCTGTTTCTCCAACCCGTGCAGAGTGAGGGCCTGCACCAGTAGACCCTCGAGTGTTCACAACAATCATCAATGAACACAAAGCAGGTGGGAGGGGTGCGGCTGCTGGGGGCAGTGTCGCAGCTCTGGGCTCACAGCCTAGAACAGCCGTGGGCAAACTACGGCCCGTGGGCCGGATCCGGCCCATTTGAAATGAATAAAACTAAAAAAAAAAAAGACCGTACCCTTTTATGTAATGATGTTTACTTTGAATTTATATTAGTTCACACAAACACTCCATCCATGCTTTTGTTCCGGCCCTCCGGTCCAGTTTAAGAACCCATTGTGGCCCTCCAGTCAAAAAGTTTGCCCACCCCTGGCCTAGAAGATGCAGGTGGTGGGTCAGCCCCCCGGCCTGCCGTCCCTGCAGGAGCCCCTCTGTGAAAGGTGAGCATGTGCCTCCAGCTGCCCCTGACGGGCCTGACCCCGAAGCCTGGCAGACAGGTGGGCAGCTCCAGGGCCAGCAAGAGGAGGGTCACTACAGCTGGGTGAACAACGCAGCACCGGAAGGATTCAGTCCCAGGAAGCCCAGGGGATCAGAGAGGGAGCTTTACTAGCAAACACAGTCAATACAAATCAACCACAAACACATTTGCAACTATTACCAGGAAAAAGTGACTACATTAAATCAAGTTATAAATATATCTAAAGCCCAGCTCTCTCAACTGAACACTCTGATGTGCCTGTTACAAACTGTCAGAAATGATAAAGTACAGTCACTGACATGCTGAAGACAGGCTTGAGTGTTAGGAACTTGGCATGCAAATTAATACAAAGTTTCCCCATCCCAAAACCTCCAAAATAGTCACTTTTGCAAGGTTCATAAGTATATGCTGCACAGCACACGTTGTGTGTATCTTGTATACCTTTTGTACTTTCTTTGACTCTTTCTGAGCATTCTCTCGGAGTGGCATTTTTCCAAATAACTTCCATCCCAAGTCATTTTGTTTGTCAAGTCTTGCATTTTGTTTTCTAGTAAGCAAGTTCCTATAGGGAGAGAATAAAAGGTTAGGGAATTCCTCGGTGGTTAGAATATCAGGACAGCTGAGTCACTCTAAAGAAAACCAGCAGACTTCCTGTGACAGGTCAATGTGGTGAGCCACTCACTCCAGGTTTTCAGACTTGATTTCCATACAGACATGAAATTATGCAGTAGGTGAAAGACCTTGAACCTCAAGTAAGATTTTTGTCATTCATTGTTAGGTGTACAAATTCTATAATTTAGAGTAAGGAAATGTATTACATCATGACACAGTATATCAGAAAAAAATGAACTCTGAAGTCAGACCAAAGGGAACTGAAACTCTGGCTCAAGCATTCACTAGCTGTGTGACTTTCTGGCCTGTATGTTAACCTGTCTGAGCCTCAGTTCCCTTGTTTAACATGTGTCCTTGTAGGAATTAAAATGATAGCTATAGCCCAGCTGGTATGGCTCAGTGGTTGAGGGTCGACCTATGACAGGAGGTTCGATTCCCAGTCGGGTATCGTGCCCGGGTTACAGGCTCGATCCCCAGTGGGGAGTGTGCAGGAGGCAGCTGATCAATGATTCTCTCTCATCACTGTTTCTCTCTCTCTTCCTCTCTCTCTTCCTCTCTGAAATCAATAAAAATATATCTTTTTTTAAAAGTTACAGCTACATAATCAGTGCTCAAAGAACAGCTGCTTTAGCCCTGGCCAGTGTTGGTCAGTGGTTAGAGCATCAACCCTCAGACTGAAGGGTCACAGGTTCAATTTCTAGTCAAGGGCACGGCACGTACATGGATTGACAGTTCGAACCCCGGCCTCGGCTGGAGTGTGAGCAGGAAACAACCAATCGATGTGTCTCTTTTACATGGATATTTCTTTCTTTCTTTCTCTCCCCCTTTCCCTTACACTTTCTCTAAAAAAAAAAAAAAAATCAATGGAAAAATTCTCAGGTGAGATTAAAAAAAAAGAACAGCTGCTTTAGTACTTAACCTTTAGTTTAGTTTAAGTTATCTATCAGGTAAATCTATATACCTATTCACAGAGTCTCCACATTTCATAGAAAGAAAGCCACCCAGGGGTCTGTCATGAGGTCTCCTCTCCCAACAACACATAAACGCAAGACCCAGGTAACAAAACAAATCCCAAATGGTGGTGCAAAGTAAGCTCTGTTTGGGATCCACCGCTTTGGTGTACTCACTACAACAGGTGGCTTCCAGGCCCACAGCAAAGTATCCGATGCGCAGCGTCTTGTGTGCCAGCAGGTAGGCAAGTGTCAAAGGAAGAAGGGGACGCAGCTAACGGAAACAGCTGCCAGTTTGAAAGGGCTCCCACTGGCTAACAATTTAATCATCAACATAAATAATGAGGACAGGGATTATAATCCACTGAATAAGACAGAAAGGCACGAGCCTACATGGGTACAAATAAACGAACATTAATGCACGGAGGAGGAAGGAGAGCTACAGGATGCCACCTAGCAAGTACAGAAAGGTGGGTGGAGTTAGAACGGGCCACTGGGTGCTAACCCTTGCAGGTGAAAGCTGGATGAGGACCAGGGTCTTCACACCAGGGTGATCACAAAGGCAAAACCAGTTCTCTCTCCAGTGGAGAAACTTCCTTGAGGAAGTGATCACAGCTGGCATCGCTAACTGGACACACCGCCATGTTGTTGGCAGCTACCCAATGCACCAAGGACCCTTCCAGGCCCACCTCGAGCCTGTCACACATACTCAGCCACTGGCCAGCAGCAGCCATCACCCCGGGGCATTCCTCCACTGGGGAGCAGGGCACAGGAGGAGCAGGAGCTTCTGCCTCACGCTCCAGCCCCCAGCTGGGCCAGCACTCTGCTCTGCAGGAGGGAGGGCGGTGACAGAGAGGTCAGAGAGATCCGAGGGACCCAGGGACCGGCTGGGTTTACAAGAAAGGGAGGCTGAAGGCGGGTGGCCCCGCAGGTGCTGGACGTCCCGCCCCCCCGCCCAATCTGTTGGCAATGCCTATCCCGATTCCTGGATAATAATGCTGAAGAGGCCTCGGGTAATACACTGTGCGCTGCCAACGGTTAAGCCACTGCCAACTAACAAACTGAGGGAGGCAGAGAACTTGGGCAGGAAAAAGGAGTCAGGGTTTCACCCCTGCGTGTATCCCAGGGCTTGCAAAATAATTATTTTCATCTCACTAGGTCACAATGCAGAGGAAAAGATAGGAGATGCCCTTGGTTCTGTGCCTCGAGGTGAAGACCTTTGAAATGCCTTCTTCAGATTCCCGGGCGCATGACCACCTCAGGGAGCAGAGCACAAACCCTTAAATACCCCGCACCTTGGTTTCTCCCACCTCTAAGTACTCTTCCTTCCATTCCTTCCTTAATTCCAAAAGTCTAAAAAAACTGCAAAACTGTCATTCTACAGGGCATCTGAGCTCTTGCTCCCCAGCACTGTAGTCAGTTTGGTTCAAGTAAACTCGTAAAAATTCTCTACAGGTCTGAACGTCCTTATGTTGACACCAATGACAGAGTCATGTAAAAATAGTGCTGGTTTCTGCCTGCCGGCCCCGGGAAGCCAGCAGCTCACGGGCACACTGTGGAGTGCATGTCACAAGGAAACAGTGTCATCACAGTTAGGAGCAAGATGGGTCAGTGACACATCTCACGGGGACAACATGGACCATTAGAATCCTGTCCCCACGAAGCTTTCCTCTTCTCAGCCTAGATTTATCCACTTGTTTTTCGGTTTTCATCACCAGAATCTAAGTCCTTGAGGGTGGATATAGCAGGTCCTCGAATCATGACGTCAGTTTGTTACACCGTTGATGAGGTGCTGTAGAAACTTAACTCTTGCAGATGTTATAAAATTGGTTTTTGCCCAGCTGGGGTGACTCGGTGGCTGAGCATTGACCCACAAACCAAGAGGTCACCAGTTTGATTCCTGGTCAGGGCACAGGCCTGGGTTGTAGGCCAGATCTCCATTAGGGGGTGTGCAGGAGGCAGCTGATCAATGTTCCTCCCTCATTCATGTTTCTATCTCTCTATCCTTCTCCCTTCCCCTCTCTCTAAAATCAGTAAAAACCTATTAAAATAATAATAAAATAAACAGTTTTTGTTATGGGTCATTTCACTGAAAGTCACAGAACCTATCGACACGTTAAGTGAGGACGTACTATATACTGCCTCCTAGTCACTGTGGTGACTCCAGTCTAGAACAGGAGGAAAGCATTCAAAATTATTCCATGCATGCTTTTCAGGGCCTCTTCACAAACATGACACAAGAATGGTTCCTGCCCATTTAAAGTAGAGGAAGCTGGGATCCGAACAGCTCGGGGAGTCCTGCCAGAGAGACAGCTAATGGGCACAGGGCCGAGAGGCAGGGGGACGTGTCCGAGCTGCTACCTGGAAATCTGGAGTCAGCGCCGTCCCAGGGTGCATGAAGCAACCCTCCCCACCCTGCGGAGCAGGTTCCACAGGCCACCACCTCTCAGCAGGGATTTCTCAAAACCTCTCCGTCTTGAGAAATAAAACTCCAAAGTCCTCCTCCTTCAACACTGTGCAAGCGAGCTCTGCTGCAATTCAGTGACTGCCTGGGCCTCGTGCCCTCTCCCTCGTTCGGCTCACTAACAGGAGCTGGAGCAAGTTAGCCAGGAGTAACCAGGAACACCCAGCGTTCCGTCCCACGCGCACCGATGGCTATCTCCTCCACCATTTCCTTTACAGATCACCTGTCAGGGACCGCATGTGTGAAACAGCCCCACCAGGAAGGCACAGAGTCGCCATGGTACAGACAGGAAACCGGCTCGGGGAGGTTAAGGACTCCACTCCTGATGGGATATACACACCCTGGCACCCCCTGGGGTAGAGAAGACAGAAATCCTGAGTGATGCTTCCAAAGCCCTTGCATAGCTTGTGTGCTTTTCCTGCTCTCCACCCCGCAGCAGCAGCAGGCTTCCCTGCCTCAGACCCCACACTGGCCCTCACTCTGCTCTGGACAGGGAAGAGGGAGAGGCCAGCCTCTTCAGCCATCACAGGTGAAAAACAAAACACACTCTGCAGAGCAAGCCTCCCGTGTGACAGGATTCTCCCTGCCCCGGGGAAAGACCAGTCACTGTGCCCCAAATTCCTAGTTCCACAACTAAAAGCGCTCAGAGCTAGGAACACTTGGAGCCTCTCCTCCTTTAAAAAATGTGACCCCAGTAGTATCTGAGGCTAAAGAGTGGATCCCTAAAAACAGAAGCAGCGGTCAACTCAAGGGAGGGTCGTGAGCACCTGCCGAGAGCTCCTGGCGCACAGCAGACCCTGCTGGAGCTACAGGACACGCCCACTTCATCTAAGAAACACGCAAGGAGGCAACTCTGCCCAATGGGCAGCGGGGGCCTACACCTCCACACAGGGTAAAAACCCAGCTCCAGTTACGTCTCCAGTTTAAAAACAAGAAAGGCAACACTGGGACCACAAACCTGTCCATGAGCAGGAGCGCAGAGGAGACGGACATCGCGTCTACTGTGGCCACATGGCTCTGCAAGGCCAGCCGCAGACAGGCGGACTCTCCCCTCGCCGCATTCCTGGCAGCTGGAGCCAGAGTCCCGGGGAAGCACCATGGACGCCTTCAGAGCCCAGCTCCACAGTCTGGAAGGTTAAGGCACCAGGACAGAGCCGCCGCTGGAAAGGCGGGGGCGGGGCAGGCAGGGCTCTGACTCCTAACTAGTCACAGGGAGGGAGGAGGGAGGAGGGAGGAGGGCGGGCAGTCTGGGAAGCAAAGCGTGAGGGACCGGTTCCAGGGACTCAGCACAGCTCCACTCCACATCTCGGCGCCATGCAGAGACCCAGAGCCACACACAGCGCCAGAGAGGCCAACGAGCCACAAAACCCAGGGCACTCCTTTCTGGGAAGCAAGATGAAGTCACATTTGCAACGACTTAGAGCATGTCCTGTGTGTCAGAGACTGAGCTTTGTGAAAAAGAGAACAGGTATGCAGGTGAGTCACAGAAAGGGTCATGGAAAGTCCTGACCCAATCCCTGCCTCAGAACCATCACCAAGGGATTCTCCCTATTCCTGATTTGAAACACCATTAAAACCTTTTCAAGGACAAGATCTAACTAACCACTTCAAGGTCAACAAACCTGAGCCATTCTAAACCCACAAGAAGTTAGTCTAGGCTGGCTCGCCGCCCTTCCCACAGGCACTGCTCACTCCTGGGTCTGCAATGCGCCCACGGGGAGGCGACGCTGCACCCCGGCCAGGGCCCTCTAATATCCAGTCCATGCCCCTTAAATAAAGGAGACCACCTGCGACTGGAGAGTCAGTACCAGGTGGCCATCTCTGCGATAGGCAGTGGTAAGGGATGAAGATGGAAATTTTAATTTTACTTTCCAAATTTCCATACTGCTAAAAAACACAAACTAAATCAGCATGTATTCCTTCTGCAAGTACAAAAAATAAGTCAAGTGTGGGAGACAACAGGGCACAGGAGTGGTACTGAGCACCTGGTCTGTGCCAGGCCAAGACTAAAAAACAACACCCACAGCCCTAGCCGGTTTGGCTCAGTGGATAGAGCGTCCGCCTGCAGACTGGAAGGTCCCAGGTTCGATTCCTGGTCAAGGGCACATGCCCGGGTTGCAGGCTCGATCCCCAGTAGGGGGCGCGCAGGAGGCAGCCGATCCATGATTCTCTCTCATCCTTGATGTTCTCTCTCGCTCTCTCTCCCTTCCGAAATAAATAAAAATGTATTTTAAAAAAGACCACCCTCAAAATCCCAGTCCCAGTGCAGCTGAATTGTGTGTGTTGGGGGGAGGAGGCATGGGGGGTGACTAGCAAGGATACTAATTCCTTGCATTCCAGTCTGGTGTCTGGACTGGAGGCAGCCCACCTGGGAACTAGCTGGAAACACAAAATCCTGCGCCCCCGACCCAGACCTCCGTAATCAGAACCTGGGGGGGTGGGGGGAGCAATCTGTTTGTATGAGCCTCCCTCTAGTTGAGAAGCTCTGATGCTCGCTCGCTCCAGTTTAAGCACTGTTCTGACTACTGACACACTTACAAACCTGCGATCTTACTTGAACTTGTCAAACCCCTCACCCCCAGGAGTCAAATCCACACCTGGTCTGGCACAGGCATCACTCAGGAAGCGCCACACCCGCAGTCTCTCTCAGGACCCTGTGTCCTCCCTCCCTACAAATCTACACCTCCATGTTCCCACACCTCTCCAAATTCTCCCTCAACCTGCAACAGTCATGTGTCATAATTATACCTCAGCAAAACAATCTCCAAAAATACCTACAATGAGAAACTCACAAAGAAAACTCAGGCCCAGGGGGCCTCACTGGTGAACTCTTCCAAGCATTTAAGGAAGAAATACACAAAGCCTTTCAGAGGCCAAAGCTTTCACTCCTACCCTCTCTCCACCCCAGAAGGAATTCAGTAGTCATTCAATGAGCACGTTTATAGGCATTATTCCCCAAGAAAAAACTATTCAGCCAGGACTGTTTAGTACCCTTTTGAGAATCATTTGACACGGAGTGTGTGTGTAGGCTTTTTTAAAATTCATATGCAATAAAACTGACTTTCTATAAGTTTTAACACATGGTAGGTTCATTTAACCACCAGAGAAAAATCTCACTGAGAACACACAAAGCAGAATACTTCTGAGCCCATTCTATAAGGCCAGCATAACCTTGACACCAAAACCTGTCAGGGGCAGTATAAGAAAGGACAAATTACAGACAGAAAGTCAAAACCAAAATATTAGCAAATTCAATCCAATCATGGAACATAAAGGATGGTGTATCATGAATAATTTGGGATTATCCTGAGAATGCAAATGCAGTTAGCTTACTTAACATTAGACAAGTACAATGTTATTTGCCACATAAACACATAAAGGAGAAAACACTTACAACTGAGAAATGCAGGAAAAAAAGGCATTTGACAAAACGTAACATATGTGTGATCTTTTAAAATTATAAAACTAGGAATAAAAGAGAACTTCCTGAATCGGATAAAACGTATTTAATAAAGCATGAGGTACCTGGTGAAAAGACACCCGCCAGCAAGCGTCACACTGAGTGGGGAAGCAGGGAAGCTTTCAGAGGCCAGGCCACTTCCACACGCACGGAGCTCTAGGCCTTCCGTGAGGCCAGAACACTGCGGGAGAGGGGCGAGGTCTGGAAACAACCCACTCACAGACAGGGGCTTTCTACACAGAAAACACAAAAGAATCCACAGATCAACAGCGAGAACCGAATTTAACAAGATCACAGGATGCAAGGACTACACACAGAAATGAGCGGCATTTCCAAAAAGCATTTCTAAAATGCCATCTGTAAAACCATCCAAAAATAACAAATATCCTGGAATAAATTTAATGAAAGAAACACAAGACCTTTACATTTAAAAAAACAAGAAACACCTATAAAATACTGTGGAAAATTTAAAGAAAAACTAAATAAATAGAAAGACACACCATACTCAGACACCAAAAATGATCAATAAAGATCAATAAATTCAATGCAATCCTGAACAAAACCACAGATTTATTGTGGTAATTGCCAAACTGATTTTAAAATTTATATGGAAATGAAAAAGAACCTAGAATAGTCAAAATAATCTTAAAGAACAAAGTAGAGGGTTTACTCTATCAAATATCAAGACCCATTATATAGTAGCTACAGTAATTTAAAAAGTATTGAAATTAGTGATAGTAGTAAAATGACAAATAGATGACAGAAGCTATATGGTCACCTGATGTATTTCAAGGTTCACGGGAAGGGTGATCTCTATAGCTAAGGAACATTAACCACTGCCTCACATCATACTGAAAGGTAATTCTGATGGATCATGGATCTAGCAGGTAATGTCAAAACAAAGATTCTATAAGATAACAGAATTTCTTAAATAGAACAAAAAAGGCACTAACCATAAAAAAGAAGATTCTATAAAGTAGAATTCATTATAGTTAAGAAGTTCTGGTCCTAACCGGTTTGGCTCAATGGATAGAGCGTCGGCCTGCGGACTCAAGGGTCCCAGGTTCGATTCTGGTCAAGGGCATGTACCTTGGTTTCGGGCACATCCCCAGTAGGGAGTGTGCAGGAGGCAGCTGATTGATGTTTCTCTCTCATCGATGTTTCTAACTCTCTATCCCTCTCCCTTCCTCTCTGTAAAAAATCAATAATATATATATTTTTTAAAAAAAGAAGTTCTGTTCATTAAGAACACAAAACAAAAAATCTGCAGAGAATGAGAAGGAAACCACCGTGCAGAGGAGATCGGCATTCCTCACGTCTATTTCACAAAGGCTCTCACCCTGAATCTAAAAATGTGCCTACAGATCAGTGAGACAGGCCCACACAGGCACCTCAGAACAGAGGCCAATAAAATATGGAAAGGTAGGCAAAGGAAACCCAAATCCCCTCACCCGTCACCAGGGTGGCGGAAAAGAACAAACACAGAAGCCAACAAGTGACAGTGCGGCATTCCAAGAGGGCGCAGAGCACCCGAGTGCCGCGCGCTGCTGCAGCAGTATGAGCAAGCACCGAGGACAGTGGTCGGCAAACTGCGGCCCCTTGAATGTGGCTCTTCCACAAAATACCACGTGCAGGTGCGCACGTACAGTGCGATTGAAACTTCGTGGCCACACTCAAGGGGCCTAAGAGCCGCATGTGGCTCGCGAGCCGCAGTTTGCCGACCACTGACCTAGGAAAAGCGCTTAGCATGTCTGCCGAGCACACTCGGCAGGGCCGCCCCAGCATGCGCTCCTAAAGACATGCGTGAGACTATTACGATGAGCACCTCCTAATTAGTAAGTGTCACAGACTTAAGAATCAAGCCTCCATGCACGGGCAACACACAGAAGTATGTTTGTGCGACTGAAAACTATACAGAGCAAGAGAAAACGAATACGGCCGCCATTCAGTAACACCCGGGTGAACCTCAGGCAAAGCTGAGCAAAGAAAGCCAGACACTGAAGTACATGCTGTATGAATCCATTTATCTGAAACTCCAAAACAAGCAAAACAGCGGCTGCCCTGGGGGAGCAAGGTCCTGACAGGGAAGGGATAGGATGGAGACTTCAGGGCTCAGTGACACTCCAAGGGCCCACGTGCAGGGCTCACTGTGCACACGACAGTATATGCTACACTTCAGGAAGTGCTAGCTTAGCTCCCACGCTCTCTGGAGTCTTCCCGGATGAAGACTCCTCTGTACCCAGTGGCTCTGCTGTCCTCCCAGAGCACTTTACACGCATCATTGACCAAGAGCTGGGACTTGTATTATAGCTATTTCCGCATCTCCTTAACTACATGGGGGAGGGAGGGTACCCTACTTGCTCTCTGGATCCCCGAGGGCTGGCAGGAAACCTGCTGTAGAGCCTGCACTCACGGGTCATTCATTAACTAACCCTGAAACCCACTCAGGCCTGTATATCTCGACTGATAAGTCAGAGTCCAAAACAGGCCCCAGTGGCTGGGTCACAGCCTCCTTGAATTCCCCTTCAACCCTTCCCAACATGTAAACACAGGAAGGAGAAGTTAAACAGGGAGGATTCCCTAACATCTGCGGAGGTTTTCACAAGGAGAAAGGCGGCAGGGCGAAAGCGCCCATGTGGTTTAGTATTGAACGTTACTTTCCTGGGGAAAAACACAAATTTATTCGTAATCTCCAAAGGAATCCTAAGAGGAGGGAAAGAGGAGTTGCGAGCTCATAGGCCATAAGCATCACACGTGGTGAGGGGTCTGGGCTCACGACCACACTGAGGGATGCAGGACTTAGACCTGAAGGGATGAGATCTGGCTGTGGCGCAAGGACTCCTCGTGGAACTCAGCGTCAGGCAGGCGGGGCTCATATCCCAGCTTCAGGACCAGCTGCCTGACTTTGCGTGAGAGACAAACCTCAGCTTTCTCCTCTGCAACAGAGGTACCAGCCTCAGCCACCAGATGGGTGACTTACCTGTGCTCATCAGTAACACTGAGGGCGGCTTATGCATGACAGGCCAAGCAGCTCAGCTCATCTCATCCTAACACTACTCACCCGTTACTGCTTTCATTCAATAAGCAGAATACAGTGGGGCCTTGACTTACGAGTGTCCCGACTAACGAGTTTTTTGCGATACCAGCTGTCTCTCAGCCGATTTTTTGCATTGAGTTGATAGAGTAATTTGAGTTAACAAGCTCCTTAACGAGCTCGGTCTCTGAACGAATTAAACTCGTAAGTCAAGGCCCCATTGTACTGCGCTCTGACTGTGTCCTACATAGGCGCTGCGCCAACAGGCCAGCCAGAGGCACAGGCCCCCAGAGACACAGGCCCCCATCCTCAAGGTGTCTATGTATGATTTTCCCTCTGACAGATGAGGAAACTCAGAGATATAACCTTGCCCAAGGACACACAGTCAACTGAAGGGCTTGGATTTGGATTTAAGTTCATACCTCCCACGGGTGGTTCTCAATCCTGGCTACAGCGAGAATTCACTAGAGAACTTTTTAATAATCCTAACGCCATGGCCTCACCCCAAACCAATGAAAACTGATTGCTGAGGGTGGGGCCTACACATCAACTGATTTTTTTAGTTTCCCAGAGAATTCTGTGCAACTAGAGCTGAGAACTTTGTCCTGAACTAATAAATGCTTCCTGTCACGTGTTCTCTCGTTTCTTTAATTGATGCTTTAATCTATATGAATTGAAGATTAGCTCTGTGCCAGCAGTTTCCATGAACAGTGAATGACACTCTTTTAGATTTCGCTTTAAACTACTCTAAAAATACTACGAACGAAAGCAAAATAAAACTGGGAACAACTGCCTGATAATGTAACCTTTTCTAGTATCTTCCAATCTCTGGTTTCCATTGATCCAGATGGTGTGCCGATTCCTAGCCCAGGTGGCTTCTAGAGCTCATCTGTGTGCCCTCTCCCTCCACTGGGCTGCACCCCCGGAATCCAGCAGGCCCCTCTCTTCTCTGGTATGGAAAACGCCCAGCCCAGAGCGTGGCACAAAGTGGCCTGCCCCTGTGCATGAGAAGAAACCACTCTTGCATGTGGCTCCACAAGCAAGGGTCTACAGTGTAGACTCTACACTGTGCAAGTGGGCAGGGCCAAGCCATGTTCTGTTCATGTCCCAGCGCCAACCAAGAACATTCGCCAGGCATTCGCTGGGGATCAGGGATGACTAAGATCCAGGCTCTGACTTGAAGGCCTCATACTAAGAACAAGACACAAAACAAAACTGGACTTACGTGAGAGCAGACACAGAGAGCAGCATGCTTGGGGGAGGCCACCTTTGCCCCTTGGAGCCAGGAGGGCGTCCTGGAAGAGCTGAGCTGGGCCTTAAAGATACGCAGACATCAGACAGAGGCACGCAGGCAAGAGAAGGGAGCATCTCAGGCAAAGGCAGGAAAGCGTGCCTCAGTCCTCTGAGCCAGGGCCCAGGAGAGGGAGAGAAGCAAACCATAGCATCTCTGCATTCTGAGACCGCAGGAGCAGGGAGGACCAGTCCTGCCAGACCTCAAGCTACAGTCACGTGGGGCCAGAGCTGTGACAGATATCAACAGTCCACCGGCCCCCGTGGAGTGTGTCCTCATTCATAAAGCAGAGATTGGACTTTCACTGCCAGTAAACTTGCACCAAGGACAATGGGCTCCTGGGGGCTTACAGACACCCTCTCGGGAGAGGGCAGGTCAGGTGACCAGGGTCAGGACCAAGCAGGCAGCACTTCTGGGATTCGGCCCCAGGAAATCCTGAAATGTACACCACGCACCAGTACACGCGCCCACAGGTCACTTTATCATCAAAAAGCAGAAGGAAAACCACTTCCTTACTGTTAGACAAGTAAATGATTCACAGGGCGGAATACCACAAAGACATTCATTCATAAGTGTATAAATTTTTAATTTTGTGGGAAAATGTTTTCTATAAGTAAAATAGCAGGATACCGAACTGTAGAAACATTATGCAATTTTATGTTTTAAATTCAAAAAAGTGTAAGAAAATACAGTAAAAAGGAAAAATTGGTAGTAGGTGTAAAAGTGGAAAGGGCAAAAATAGAATGATAGTTTAAACAAAAAGAACCCTTAAGAAAACATGTAAAAATAGGTTCCTTAAAAAAAAAAGTCATAGACACCACAGGTGTGGATGCCACATGTGCAATCAAACTAAAACCTGCACAGCTGTGTGACCCAGCTCGCTAGGGAAAGTCTCCTCCCAATACACA